CACACACACACACACACACACACACACACACACACACGAACATTCACATACATATACACAACAATAAAACTGAGCAATAAGAAAAGAAATCATCCAATCAATAAACGGTCTAATGAAATGGAGACAGTTCACAAAGGAGGAAATACAAACAGCCCATTATCTTGTGAAAAAATGTTCAAGCTCTCTAGCCATCACAGAAGTGCATAAAATGACTACATTAACATTATTCTGCTTTACAGCCTGCTGTGCTGGTACACGCCTTTAATCCCAGGTAGAGACAAGTGGATCTCTGTGAGTTGAGGCCAGCCTGGTCTACACAGTAAGCTTCAGGATAGCTAGGGCTATGTAAAGAGACCCTGTCTCAAAACACACACACACACACACACACACACACACACACACAGAGAGAGAGAGAGAGAGAGAGAGAGAGAGAGAGAGAGAGAGAGAGATTCTGTCTTACCTCAGTCATTAAGAAAGTAAGAGCTGGGCATGGTGACACACACCTTTAATCCTAGGACTTGGGAGGCAGAGGCAGGCAGCGACCAGACTAGCTACACACAGACTGCCAGGACAGAGCTACATAGTAAGATCCTTGGAAGATGTCTTCCAAGATGTCTTGGGAGAGAGAGAGAGAGAGAGAGAGAGAGAGAGCGAGAGAGAGAGAGAGAGAGAGAGAGAGAAAGAGAGAGAGAAAGAAAGAAAGAAAGAAAGGAAGGAAGGAAGAAAGAAAGCAACAACAATGATGGCTCCATATGGGGGAAAGGGAGCCCTCATACACTGTTGGTGGGAATGTAAACTTGCTGGAGTCCAGCTCCTGCCGGGGTTCAGGTCCCAAGGAGGAGGTGTGGAGTTGCTGAGGGAAAGGAGGAGACCGATACGATCTGAGGGTGGATCAGGATGGCTGTTTGTTTATTGAGAAAAGATTACACCTCTTTATACTCTATAATTACACACAGGATTCAGTGGGAGAAAAGAGGCACATGAGATGGGGTGTGGCTTGACATCAGGGGTTGAAGAAGCTAGCCTTGATGTTGACAAGTTAATAGGCACAGTTGTATGTCAATGGAAGGGTCAAAAATTCTGTTCAGTTGGAACCTGCATCTCACCCCTGCATGATCCAGGAAGCCCCATTCCTGTCTCTCTCCAAACCCCACCCACTCAGAGAGCCTCTGAACAAAGGAATAGCACTATAAAGGCCAGTTCCACATTCTTTTTTTTTTAAAGATTTTATTTACGTATTATGTACACAACATTCTGCTTCCATGTATATCTGCACACCAGAAGAGGGCACCAGATCTCATAACGGATGGTTGTGAGCCACCATGTGGTTGCTGGGAATTGAACTCACACACACACATGTGTGTGATTCCTACATTTCATATGGTCTTATAAAATGTTTTCATAGACTAAATGAAGGAGCTGAGATTGTCTCAGGAAACAATGGGGATCAATGGGACAGAGAGACAAGAAATGGAGGGTAGAGAGTAATGGAGAGGAGATATTTATGTGCAAATATAAGACACACCTCTAAGAAATTTGTTTCTGAAGTTGAATTTAAGAGCTGGAGGAAGGGCTGTGCGCTATGGAACGCTCTTTCTGGCATGGCACAGCCTTTGCACTCTTGAATGGTCATCAGATGCAGACTGCCTGCACAGAACTGGGCTACACAACCTTCTGTCATGGAGGGGGAAGGGGTTCATGCAGGGTCCCCATTTGTTGAAAATTTATAAGCAGTCAATGTTGCTTGGAAAGGGACAAATGTTCTTCAAGGGGGTACTGGCAAATTGCCCATGCTCCTTAAGTAGCCCTAATTGGACCCATTGGATCACACACACACACACACACACACACACACACACACACACACACACACCACAGAGGCAGACTAGTTTGGACAACAATAAGGTGATCAGGGGGTGTGAGAGGGAGACAGAGGTTGGGAATACATTTGATCAAAATCTACTATATATGTGTATAAATGAAACCTGTCTCAAGCTATCTAGGAATGCAGGACTGGGTATCAGGTTTTTTGTTTGTTTTTCCTGTCAATTAAGAATTAAAACGAATGTCAGGCGTTGGTGGTGCACGCCTTTAATCCCAGTGCAGCACTAGGGAGGCAGAGGCAGGCGGATCTCTGTGAGTTCGAGGCCAGCCTAGAGCGAGTTCCAAGCAGAACTCATCATACCTGGGAAATCTGAGTCTTCTTTTGGAGTTCTTGGTGTCATTAATAAAAGAATTTAAGAGCCATCACATACAGAAGCTTGAGAGTTTAAAAGAAAAGCCCCAAGGCAGGCGAGTTTAAATCTCAAAACTGTGGGAAGGGACCTGTTGCACCGGATTAACCCTTGAGGTAGATTCTATTCTCTGCACATTATTATTGTGTACAGTTATGCTAAGAAAAGTTTCAAAACTGTTCCAGCAAAATTCCTAAACAGGAGCAAAATGTCCTGAGCTGGTATGTCAAAGCACTATCTGTTAACAGCCATTTTGCTGCAGTTTTAGAAGAAATTAAAGCCGAAATCCACCGAGTTCCTCTACAGAACCTAGGGACTAGGAGTCAAAAATCTAAATCTAAACAGACTCCAGAAAAAGACTGAGGTCTAATAACCTTGATTTACACACCCACCTGACTGGTTTGCTCTCATGCAGCAAAACATTTTCAGAACCTGCAAGCAGACAAGCCCTAACCTTTGCCTAGATCACGGTAGCGCGGTATTGCTACACAGTTTGCTTATCAACGCTACTCCCGCCTACCGTGGGAAACCACACACCCCTAGAGGCCATGCGGGCAGGGGCGGGGTCATTCTGTTGATTGGTTAGCTGCGGATGATTGGTCAGTGGCGAGTCAGGCTTTGGGCTTTTAGGTCCAAACTCCGGCCGCACTGGCGGACTGGCGGCGCCTCCGGAGAAGCATGGCTGGGCCGAGCGTTAGCGCGCAAGTCTTGGCAGCTGCACTTCTGCTTTTGCTCGCCACTGTCTCAGGATCTACGGACCGGAAAAGTCGGGGGTCGTCGCGGATCCCTTTCCAGTTCAGCGAGGAGGAGCGCGTCGCTTTTAAGGAGGCGCTGAAAGGTGAACCTCCGCCCCCTTGTGCTCGGATGTGGGTGTCTCAGTCCCCAGTCAGCCCCGGGACGTCTCCCTTTGCCACTGCTCACTGCTCAGGCTTGAGTTCACCTGCCACACTGGCCCGGCCCAGTCAGCGTTCCCACACATGTCCCAGCACACTGTGCACGGTTTTAGCACGCCCCTCGCGTCGGTGTCCCCTTGCCTAACCTGGAGGCTCCTCTTATCTCCTCTCGGCATAGCCCTCACCCACCCTACCTACCTCCAATAAGTGTTTGTAGCACTTTGAACCTCACAAATGTTTCTTGGCTGTTAAATCTCTGTGGTATCTTAAAACTGATTAGTTTCGATAAATCATCGTTCCCCAGGGCCCCCGACAAGAACTGGGCACTGGGAAGCAACGTTTTAGAGTCACTGGGACTCACTGACTCTTGAGGGAGATGAATTGTTCCTGGAGTGTAATGTTTATCTAGTTGCCCCTTAATACCAGGACCTAACAAAGCAACTTACTCATTGCCCTGAGTCTGTACCTTTCAGGAGGAAAGAGGAGCGTTTGTGGAGGCTCATGGGATGCTTTGTGACCACTGCTTTCAACTCCTCTTTTCCGTTCACTAAATAGTGGATTAATAAAAACTGCATACGCAAACATGTGCAGGCCGACACAGGGACCAAATACTAGCGTCTATGTGGGAGATGGATTGTGCATGCTCTGGAGTGACAGGCCTGGGAAGAGCTTTCCCATCGTGCAGATAGCCCTCTGCAAACTGGTGGGCTGCACCAGAGTCCCTTTGCACAGAAGAAAGCAAAAGCTTATCAAGACCTCATAGCATCATGGCGTAAACTCTTAAACGAGATGCCAAGTATCGAAGTTCAGATGTCAGATATGCTCTCGGATGGGCAGTTTTATAATCTTTTTGGATTTAAGATACCCCATCTGGGGAGTAGGCTGTGATGTGATAGAGTTGATGCTTAAATAGAGGTAGTTGTGTCTTCCAGACAAAATCTAAGTGCTCTAAAATCCAAATTTTTCTTAATGCCATGTTAACCCTCAAAAAAATGAATTTCAATTTTTTTTGTCTTTTATTTGGGACAGTTTCCTGCTATCCCAGCCTAGATTCAAAATTACAATCTTCTTGCTTTAGCCTCTACGTGCTGGGATTACAGGGATGCGCCACCACATTCAGCTATGGTTTCAGATTCTGTTGTTTGTTTACAGGACATGATTTCTCTGTGTTGTAGCCCTGACTGTCCTGGCACTCGATCTGTAGACCAGGCTGGCCTTGAACTCAGAGATCCTCCTGCCTCTGCCTCCCGAGTGCTGGGATTAAAGGTGTGCACTACCACACCCGGTGGTTTCAGATTTTTATTTTTATTGGAAATATCCACTTGAATCCTCCTCCGTCTCTGACTTGAATCTTGACAGGTGCCATCCAGATTCCCACAGTGTCTTTCAGCCATGAGGAATCCAACACCACAGCCCTTGCTGAGTTTGGAGAATACATTCGCAAAGGTCAGCTGAGAACTGAGGGCAAAGGGTGGCAGAGACACACTGGAGACCTTGTCCTTGACAAGGTGATAAGGAAATAGATTCTGTCACTAATAGAGGACCGTCACATTCTTGGGGGTTGCTTTTTTACTTTGTACATAGAATGTATAAAAGAGAGAATCCAAAAGTTACCCAGTAGAGGGCAAAGTGAGGGCTGTAGATTTGCCTTTGAAGAACTGAGAATTAGCTATAGTTCTCTAAACATGTATCCATTAATAAACTAGATCATTAGCAGGTAAAGCAAGGGTTCCTTCTCTTGTACAAATGTCTAGAACTCTGTCCCAGTACCTCCCACTCATGCTACCATATGCCCATTCATGCAGCCTGCAAGTGGGCTCCACCTAGTGGGCTCCGTTTACAGTAATTACTAGCACATTCCTAAGCCTCTTGGCAGCCAGCATCCTTGACCTGTCTGTCCTATCATTCTCTCCCTTTATCCTTATGACCGTGGAGCCCAAAGCTAGGAAGAATGGATTGGAGAGGGTGTTAGAATCCTCCTTAGTACAAACAAAACAATCTAATGAAGAATAGGGAGGTCCTCACTTCAGAAAGTCAGAGGTGGAAGAAGCAGGCTTGGGAGCATCAAGTAGTTCCCTCTCTAACACTCTGGGACAAATGGATCTGGGACTAAAGCCTTGTCACCAAACCAGAGGCCAGGCAAGAAGTCATTACCAAAGAAGGGAGGGGATGAGAGGGAGAATGACTTAGGATCCTGGAGAAATAACTCAGTAGTAGAGTGTTTGCCTAGCATTTGCAAGACCCTGGATGCAGTCTCAGGTCTGTCTGTCTGTCTGTCTGTCTGTCTGTCTGTCTGTCTGTCTGTCTGTCTGTCTGTCTGTCTGTCTGTCTGTCTGTCTGTCTGTCTGTCTGTCTGTCTGTCTGTCTGTCTGTCTGTCTGTCTGTCTGTCTGTCTGTCTGTCTGTCTGTCTGTCTGTCTGTCTGTCTGTCTGTCTGTCTGTCTGTCTGTCTGTCTGTCTGTCTGTCTGTCTGTCTGTCTGTCTGTCTGTCTGTCTGTCTCTCTCTCTCTCTCTCTCTCTCTCTCTCTCTCTCTCTCTCTCTCTCTCTCTGTCTCTGTCTCTCTGTCTCTCTCTCCCTCTCCCTCTCTCCCTCCCTCCCTCACAAAAATAAACAATTTAGAGAACTAAGTATATACAGTGACAGTAGACTGAGTAAGCTGGGTAACAGACTGAACCACACTCTTCAGTTTTGTTTTTTGCTCTGTGGGTGTGTGTATGTGTGTGTGTTTAGATATGCACAGAGGAGTAAGTGGATTCCTCCCAGGAAGTCCAGGGAGGGATTAGC